TTCCTTAACAGCAACCCAGGTGGTCGTTCAAAGAGGCGGATGAGGCTACAAAGCACTGGTGGCATCATCACCCAAGGGCTTCAGATATTTTAATCGGATGGATTAGACATCCGCAGCTGACACAGGGAAACAGAATCGATTTGGAAGTGGAGTTTTCTGCAAGCAGCAAAGGCCGCTGGCGGTCCAGAGGCCTGGGATTCAAGGGTCCCTTTCAGGCCAAGGTTGTCAGAGGGGAGGCCGCCTACCTCATCCTGGAAGACAGCTCAACCGTCCTTCGTGGCCGGATGGAGGAAGCAAATCCGAACATTCAGGGCTCAGTGACACACGAAAACGTTGCAGACGGGACGTTTGTTCTCCAAGCTCTACCTGACTGTTACGGGGTTGCTGTTAAGAATCTTAAGTTGAGTTACCATAATGGGTGTACATATATATATATATATAGATAGTAATTAATAGGGTTTCCTCAACATGGTATCTTGAATTAAGTTTCTTAACAGCAACCCAGGTTACCATGAGTGGTGGTCCCATGTCAGGGGCGAGCTGACTGGAGATAGTTCAAACCCAGGGATCCTCGTCTTCAGCGAGGATGGCTCCATAGAGGGCGGCGATTCCTCGGAGGCTTCCCATGGTAGTCATAAGACTAATAGCAGTAAAAAGAGTAATAATAGAACAGCAGTAATAATAGTAATCATAATAGTAATCATAGTAACAATAATAGTAATAATCGTAATAATAATAATATCAAGAATAGTGACAGTAGTATTAATAGTAATAATGGTAATAGAAATACTAGTACTAATAGTAATAGTAATAATAGTAATCATTGTAATTATAGCAATAACAGTAATAATAGTAATTATAGTAATTACAATAATTATGGTAATACCAATAACAATTGTAATAACGGTAATAGTAGTAACAATAGTAACAATGATAATAGTAGTCGTAATAAGGGCATATCCAGCTGTACCATGTCCTTACCCTGGAACTATCTCAAAGTTGCACAGAAGGATGGACCTGTCAGGTCCTAAACCCTAAACCTTAAACCCGTAAACCCTAAGCCCTAAACCCTAAACCCTGAGCCCTAAACCCTGAACCCTGTCAGGATTCCACTGACCTCCCTGACATCAACTCCCCAGCCGACTTGCGCAAATTCCTGCTGCGACGCTTGTCGCAGCAGGTGGGCACACAGAGGCTCCCTATGCACTTATGATTATTATATTCCCTATGCACACAATCATCATTGTCATAATTATTTCTGTTGTTTGTGTCATTATTATAATTACTACTATTGTTCTCATTTCTATTATCATTATTCTTCATTTTATTACTAATATTATCATTACCATTACTACTATTATTTCTGTTACTACTGTTACTACTACTTCTGTCTGATGTAAGATGCCCGTTCTCCGTTGTTCTTCTATGTTCTACTGCCTTTTGAGCCTCCCAACTTCCCGCGCACTCGCAGGCGCCCAGGCGAGAGCCAGTCCACTGGCAGCAAGCGCAAAGAGATTTTACAGAGATTCTCATTCCGGCCTGACGAGGTCAAGGCATATCTTGCTACTTGGAAGAAGTTCATGCAGTTTTGGCGTCTTATCTTCAGTATTCAAGTCCCGCACAGAGAGAGAGAGAGTTCCTCAACCCAGATGCTCACATGCAGGATCGCTACGTCATTTGCCAGACTGCCGCAAAAGAGATGCTCTCAGTAGCCATTTGCGATCACTACAATCGTGCCAAGGATAGGGCCAAGCCAAGGGCTTCATTTGGCAGTTTACCCAAATAGGGAGATCCCTATATAGACCCCAATATATTATAATCCTTACTATTGGGACCTTAAAAGGTACTCTTAATTTTGGCAAACTCCATTATTTTTGAGTTGAAGTGATTGTGCAATGGGGCCACTCTGCAATCCCTCCTCAGACGGGTTTACAGGCAGCGTTCTTGCGATTCTCCGTCACTTGAGCTATAGTCTACATTCCTAGTATCCCTCTTATCCCTATAACACTCTCCTCTATATCCCGTCTAATGGGTTTAGACCCCAAACCCAAATCATATATATATATATATACATACATGCATATAAATATATGAACCCCTTTAAGAAGTTGAGACTATAGCTCTCTTGCTGTTAGGCCAAAAAGAGACTTGAACCTGGCCCTTGCAGTCCAGCCTGGTTCCGTAGATGTGGTAGTTTCCCAAGATGAGGGTTCATAGTCCCAATAATGGAACCTAAATGGAAAAAAGGACATGGGACATGAAATGGAAACACTAGGTGCCTTTAAAGGGGTATAAGGGATATGTAGGGATCTACCCCCAATAATGGAGAATCGAATGGAAAAGAAAATGGAAAATGACATGGAACGTAGTGTTATATAGGTATGGCATGGGGATTGTTGGTAGTTTCTCAAAATAAAGAGACCCCATTATCCAACATATTTTGACCTTTAGGGTTTAGGGTTTAGGGTTCTTATTTCAAGGACCCCGCGAAAGGTACCCCTAATTTTGGTAAACCCCCATGTCTGGGTTTCAAATCGTGGCCGGGGGCAGCCTGTGTGCCTCAACCTTATGTGCAGCACCTGCAGGTGTAGACCGTAGACCGCAACCCTTGACCGTTCATTTAAAGTGCTACACCCTAAACCGCACAAGGCTAAACTAACTTTAAACCCTGACACGTGTCAACAGGCGCAAACATAGACTACCTACTTGGGCTTGTTTCTCTGAAGCACTGACAGGAGGAGCTAGCTGTGGATCCTTCTGAGGCTCCGGCGGACAAAGCCCCTTGCTCTAAACTGAAGGTTCATGTTTAGGGTCTATAGGGTTTTTAGGGTTTAGGGTGTAGGGTGGGGAGTAGGGTTTTGTGTTCAGGGAGTAGGGGTCAGGGAGTAGATTCCACTTCCCTTAAGACTTGAACATGTTAGCGCAGGCAGAGAAGTCAAAGAAACCACCGTAGGGTTGAGCTCCCTGTAGTTGTTTGGAGTCTAGAACTTCAGATGGCAGCGCTTATTGCAATTTGATTATGTAGGGGTATGTAGGGGATTATACAGGGGTATGTGGGTTATACAGGGATAGTGGAAAAGAAAATGAAGGCTAGTATCTAGCGTTTAGGGTTATCTTACTGGGGGGTAGTAGGGAATGAAGGAATATTTTACAAAGGGCCTATTCGCCGCCGAGAACTATCGGGACTCGCGCATAGGGGGCGCAACTCGCGGTGTAATTTGTTGGCAATGAAACCTTGTTTTTTTTCCTCATGCTGCAGAGCTGTTGAAACAAAAAGTCATGAGCAATGTTGATGCTGCATAATATCTTTGTGTTTACTCTTGCGGCCTGCAGTTTCTCATGCCTCACAGCAATGCTCCTCAATAGAACTCATTTCTCGCAATTTGAAGCTTTGGGAGAGACTGCTTCCACCTGGCAGGTGGCGCCGAACCGACATCAGGCAGAAGCAAAGGCAGCGAATGAGATTCCAAAACCCGAAGAAAAGGAAGCTACTGAGGCCGAGTCCCCAGAAGCAGAGGCCTGACAGGGCTTCTTTTTAAACCATATGAACTGTAGTCTAAGCTCCTTAAACGGGGGTGATATGGGGGATTATATAGGGGGACTACTACAGGGGTTATGAGTACTAAGGGTTCATGTTACATGTTACCTACCTTGATCTTCGAGCCTAATGTGGAGACTACAGACAGGTTCCATTTGGCAGCAATGTTCGTTGGTGGCTCATGTATCACTCTCCCAGTGCATATCAGATGTTATGGCAGACATAGACCCTGCAGG